TATGCCTTGATGATTATATAAGTAATGGTAGCCCAGGTTATTAGGTCTTTTAAACTGCAACATTATTATTACATCTTAGACTCCCTATCTGATGATAAGATGAAATCGTCTTATAAGATGACTTTTAAGATCAATCACATTTTGTTTCTAGTGCCAATTTGAAGTGTTTGTATATCATGCTGCTCTTCATTTAGAAGATAAGATCTCAACTAACCCTGATCAAATTTAGTTCTTTTGAAAGAAAAGAAGGTAAGCAAAAAAAAAAGAATACATACTTCATTCGCGACGGGCCAGTGCTTGGCGCTAACTGCGCCTGGCCGGGGGATTGAACACCCCACCCACTCTAACTCGGCTCCTGGGCCACGTAGCCGCGTGCGGTAAACGGCATTCAAAAGAACGTCAAAAATTATGACAAAATAATTTTTGCCATGTTTAAGGTTAGGTCAAAGGGCAGGTAACCAGAGGTCATCAAAGGTAAGACTTTGCTTATTTCAACATCGTTCGAAAAACCGGCGCATAAGTGCATAACCCAGGAGCCAATAGAGCTACAGCGCTGCGGAAGATCGTGTTCAATACCCTATTAACCCTCGCCGGCACAGGCCATTTTGAGACCTTCGACGGCAAAAAGGGACCCCTCTCGCGTTTGGCCCCTGATCGAGCTAGAGCTTTGCGGAAAAACGAGCGTGCTGTCCTTCACGAGAGGAAGCCGATGATACCAAATTTTAAGGTCCTAGGTCATCGGTTCACCTTCCAGGTCAGGTCAATGACCCAAAAGTCGGGAAAATCGGGACCTGTTAGAAAGTCGTAAAGTATGGCTGCAATAGGGTTTTTCGGGGTGCTGATCACGAATATCGTGTTAGTTTTAAACACCGATGATGTCTTTCAGCATTTAGACCAGGTCGGGTCAGGTCAGGTCAGGTCAACCAGTAGGGCTCGTGACAGGTATTCGTAGTACGTGTCAACCGCCTCTGACAGCTTCGCTACAGTTACGAAGGCACCAAAATTACTTCGTTAATGTTCAAATGGTTGCTTAATTCGAATTTAGCTCCAAAAACTAGCCTAGAAATATGTAAAACTCGAAAACGTGAACCGAGGTCACCAAAGGTCGATGACCTGACCTGACCTTCAAGTGACCCTGACATTCACCCTAATGCATGGAAGCAACATCAAATCACATGTTTGAACGTTTGAAACCACGACAAGCTTGCAAACGCGCGGCTAATGCGAGCCGACATACGCCGAATCACGATTCCGGCTAAACATGGTCTCGGAAATTAGGTCACAGGTCAAAGGTCATTTGGGTCAGGGTCAATAAATTGTCATGGTAGGTGTAAAATTGATTAATGCAAAGGGATTGAAAATTTCGTCACGATCGGCCGCTTTTTACGCGAGTTATTTGCGAAAAACCTTGGGGGTTGCATCATCCCCCCTGTGCCAGCGAGGGTTGACGCTCTTTCTCGAATAAGCGACCAGACGTGACCTAGGACCAACGGTTTAGCATCCAGAGGGCAAAAACTTCAATAGTAGCCATTTTAACCCGCGACCTGGTGGGGGGGGGCTATTTTTTGCCCCCCCCCCCCTCCAGACTTTTCGATATATCTCCAGAACCGCTGCGCTGATCGTCACCAAACTTTCAGTACCCTCCCGGACATCAATTTTACACATTGTGACCAAAATTTTTTCCAAAGGCTATGATAGGTTGGCCGGAAATGACGTCAGAGTGACGTCAGAGTGACGTCATGTTCTGCCGTTTTCGACCCAAAAAAGGGTTTCGCGGGAAGAGCTGTCAGGCCTATAGCTTTGCAAATACAGAAAATTGATTAAGACGTAAAAGCTGTACCTAGATTGGACAGGGCTACAAAACTGCTATCTCGGATTTTTGAAACTTTTGGATTTTGACCCCCAACAATCAAAAATAGATTTTTTGGATATAATAATCGAAAAATCCAAAAACTTTTTGAATTTCGCAAAAACCGGAATATATGTGATAGTCCTTACCGCCTTCCATCCACATACCAAATTTGAGATTGATACCTCTTTTTTTGGCGAAGTTATAGCGAAAAAACTGTTCAAAATTGATGACGTCAAATTTTCAAACTCAATTTTTAGCAATTCTAGACCCCGTAGCGCAAAACAAAGACCAGGCATTAGACTCACCGTGACGAGCTGCATCGAATCAATACCCATTTTATGCAAAACTATCAACTTTAAAATTTAACCTTTTTTGGCCTGACCTTGACCTGACCTTGACCTGAACTTCACCAGAAAGTGACCTAAGCCGTACCTGATAGTCTTATAACCAACACCATTGAGTTGGAAATGAAAAATTGGCCATAAAACATGTATCACACAACCTTAGTAAAGTCGGGCTCATGTGACCTGACCTGTGACCCTTGGTGACCTGACCTGTGACCTGACCTGGTATTGCCAGTGACCTCTAATAGCAACATATCTACTAGGCAACTAACGCCCTACCGCTGATTCTCGACAAAATGCGTTT